TGGTTACAAACTGCGAACTGTTTCACATCGAAACTAAAATGAGATGAAATTGGGCACCAGTTATATAATTAGCAACGTTAAAGATGGGTTCCCAGAAAAGTATTTATTGGGGGGTTATTTCCAATAAAAATATGGCAATTTTGGTATATAAAGAAAGTAGAGATATCCAATCTTACTAGAAAAATACTGGATTCGCCGCAAAAAATTCGTGGAGCGTATATAGGACAAAAATGTAAGGGTTCCCCTAATCGACAGTCCGACGATTAGGAATTTTTGCACGCGTGATGTCAAAGGTCACACGCGAACATTGAGCGCTTGATGTACAAGTTGATAAACTTTATGAAGAGTTACACGTACAACACTTTCTGACATAAAATGACGGAAAAAGACGCGGGTAGTGGATAATCCGAGAATTTAATTAGGATTCGATATTTGTAATAAATAGTAAGCTATTAAAGGCAACATCGTCTTATGTATCCAATTTATTCTCCTCTGACTTCCAAGAGAGGTAAGTCACGTGACCTGGTTTGATCGAATTTTTATAGCAGGCATTCCTTCTCAATTACAATGTTTGAGAAGGATTTGAAGCAAAATTATGACAAATTAATTAGTTTGAATATGTTTTTTAGTCTATATATACCATTAAATCACCCAGATTGTACGCGGGAAAGTATCTTTAACTGGTTTCCTGTCCCACTGGAAACGAACAAGGAGGATTGTTTAACGATGCACGTGCGTACATTGAGAGGGCGCTTTTTCGGAACATACCTTGTTGGAAATCTCACCGGATTCGAGTGTTATCAACCATTCCCAGTCTTATTTACCCCACACAAACAGTTAGTTTCAATGTTTTGGGTTAACTAAAATGGCGTAACTGGCTTCAATCGTCATAATTTTAAAATGATACCATGCCGCCTCCAGATCAGTACTACTTCTTGACCCTAACATTAAATAGAAAACTAATTTAAAGGGCCAAACAAAATATACTATTTGTACTACTACTATGTAATTATCTGATCTAAGTAAATATGAGAGAGAGAATGGGGTTTAACGTCCACTCGACACAAACTAGGGCATTTCGGGACTAACATACGGTTTAATTTTATTTACATAATTCGCTTGCGCGTAGGGGTCTTTAGCAGTGGGAGGAAACCGGAAGACCCGGAGAAAACCCACGAGGTTGGATAGGCGACCCTACTCCGTGTCACGTACAACCGGGGATTCGAAACCACGCCAGTCGACTCAGTGACAGACTTTATGATACAGCGCGCGCACGCTTTTTTTTTTTTTTTTTTTTTCTTGAGAAAATTTTATTCAGGTACTAATACAGCATAAATATACAGTACATCCGATTACATGTTAAAAAACATTCACTCATTCAAGTATATTAAATATACAGATGCACGCTACACTGAAAAAAAACTTGTGTTGAAACAACACAAACTTGTGTTGTTTTCAACACAAGTAAGGTGTCTCTATTTAACAACACAAACTTGTGTTGAAACAACACAAAACTTGTGTTAAATGTTGAAACAACACAAAACTTGTGTTAAAATTTATCAAACAACATAAACTTGTGTTGAAACTTGTGTGAAAATCTACACGATACTTGTGTTGAAATTTTTGAAACTTGTGTTGAAATTTCTGAAACTTGTGTTGAAATTTCTGAAACTTGTGTTAAAATTTCTGAAACTTGTGTTGAAATTTCTGAAACTTGTGTGGTTTCATACAAACTTGTGTATAACCATCCACAAAAACTTGTGTTGTGTTTTTCCCCAATTTATATACAGTATAGCAACCTTTTTATGCAGGACCCATCTCTTTGCTCTGTTAGACCTGTAAAGTTTGATAAAAGAAGGAAACAAAATTTGTTTTTGTTTTTGTAAGATTATTATTTATTCATAAAATCATAGGAAAACGTAAATTAATACATCAAAACTAAATAGATATTTGAAATGTTAACAGAAAAACAGAGAATTCTAATACTAATTATATTGTGTTATATATAATGACCCCCCCCCCCCCCCCCCCCACACACACACACACACACACACACACCCCACTTTACCCATCACAAAATATAACATAGCTATTTAAATTGTTCTTAACCCCACACACTTTACCTATCACAAAATATAAAATAGCTATATAAATTGTTCTTTACCCCAAAACAAGAACTGAGAATATAAAGATATGTACACAGTATCCCTACACCATACTCCAAAATATATAATTCAAATAATATCTAAATTTAATAACATCCAAACCAAGCACTAAGATTAATTATGCACTAAATTGAAACAATTTCAAAAACTGAAAAGTGCTACAAAATCACACTGCAAGTGATTTGTGAGACATATAGAAATAACTAATATACACAGAAAACTAACAAAAGAAAAATGCACTATTTTGCAGGAGTAATAAAATGATGTAAAACCTTTTCCTCATTAAAAAACCCCAAACAAAATGAATATTTTGTAAATAAAAGAAGCAAAGCATCAAGATTACAGGATTGAAATAAAAAAATATCATATGTACAAAAAATTTATATACAATCACAAGTCATAAGCCACAGTGGTTCAGTGAGTATAAGGTGTTGGCCGAGAAATTTCAACTGGATTTTCCGGCATAGTTCCCACTTGTCAGTAGTCTTGGATATGGCAAGGGATAATTGGGTACAAGCCCGGAATCGAAAGAGAGCGAGAGAGAAATGGGGTTTAACGTCCACTTGACACAAACTAGGTCATTTCGGGATTAACATATGGTTTAATTTTATTTCAATAATTCGTTGCGCATAGGGGTCTTTAGCAGTGGGAGGAAACAGTAGGTCCCGTAGAAAACCCACAAGATTGGACAGGCGACCCTACTCCTTGTCACGTACAACCGGGGATTCGAAACCACGCCAGTTGACTCAATGACAGGCCGTATGATACCGCACGCACATGCTTACCATTCGGCCATCCACCACCCCCTCCCCCATTCCCGGAATCGAAACCATCCCCACTGCGTTCACTTAGAAGAAGCCTTGACAATTGAATTATTTGACTCAATGACAGACTTCCTGATCAAATGTGTGCGTGTTAATCATTGCCCCCCCCCCCCGGGTTCCCGTTAAAGAACCCTTGACAGTTGAAATATTTGATATAAGAGTAGGGTGTAGGGCAGAATCACTCTAAGAACACAGAAAAGTAGGATACTAAACCGTATTTCATTTCATAAGCAAGGGAAAGTCACCTTTATGTAGGTCAAGGTTTTTTGTAATTCTGGGTGTATTTGATCTACATTTGGTTTCTAGTAATGCCTATTAAATACTTTATGATTTCTGACCAAATTCTAAGTGATTTATATGCCACTTTACTTGCTATATTATACATACATTTCTGAAGAGAATTAAAATCTAATTGTGTTTTGGAAGAAAATTTAACATTAATAACAAAAAATAAATATTTAAAAATTGGGTCAAATGCATTCTTTCCCAGAAGTATAAAATAAATTGATGCTTGGGTTTTCTTGTTGTTATCATACAGCAAATACTCTTTCAATGGTGTTCCAGCCTAAAAAATAAAAAGTAGGAGATAAGAATACTTTCTATGGTTCACAACGTTTAAATAAACAATTTATTTTGCCACATCGAGACCGAGTCTCTATTTGGTTTCAACTTTGCGTAATGTCTAATTATTTTTGGACCCATTCTTATTTTATTTCCATTGACAACAAATTGGATATTACCCTTTAAAATCTACTGAAATCTATTTGAAAGTAAAATACTGTCCATCATTATTTTACTGCTATTTACTGTAAAAATACACATACATGTAGGGCCTATCGCAACTTGAAGGAAATCAATGGATGTGATTGGCAAAAATCAAGCATGCCAAGTACTTGAAACAGCAGAGTACTAGGCATTGCCCCAAGAAGAATAACTAGATTACCAAGCAAGTGTATAGAAGTACTTCCTGATTAAAAATACAAATATATATGTTACTTACATTTTGCGTGTTTTCCCCTTGTCAGTGATACAGGACGGAGGACCTGACAAGGACAGCTGTCTAGTCGTTCGGATGGGACGAAAAACCGAGGTCCCGTGTACACATTGGCGTGCACATAAAAGATTCCTTGGCAATTGGAATTCGATATAAGAGTAGGCTGTAGCGCCGCTGCCCGGGCAAAATTCCCTTCATAGCACACTGTATGGCGTATGCCCGTCTTCATTAGCCCAATTTATGAGCAAAACAGTAGGATGTTAAACCCCATTTCATTTCATTTTCAAAATTATAAAATAATTTGATGGTTTAATATTCAAAAGGTACAGTCCTTCATGTTTATAAAATTGTACGGGAGCCATAAAAAGCTCCTGATACCTTGAATATATGCAGTTTAAAAGTAAACAAAAATCTCAATATTTAGGAGAGAGAGAGAGAAATGGGGTTTAACGTCCATCCAACCCCCCCACCAAGTGTATAGACCCAGTTCCTGATTTAAAAAGCAAATATGCATGGTACTTACATAGTCTTTGTCTGATAAGCAAGATCTGTGAGAAAACGTCGCCACAATATCAATAGCCCTTTCCAACTTGATCTTCCGAGGTGGGTAACTGAAAAAAAAATGGCAATGTATTAGTTGGCTTAAATTGACTAGACAGTTTTGATTAATTAAAAAAATGTTACTTTAATTACATTTGTTTTGTTTCATGTGTTGGTTTGCTTTGCCACAGATGAGACAGTGATATCTACATATAACTAAGATTCTGTCTCTGCTCATACATGACGTGTACAGTTTTACTATACTAAACTGAATTTTAGATTTCAAAATAGCATAACAATCTTTTCTATTAGAATTGAATAGTTACCCACCAAGAAAAAGCTGCTCTATCATCATTTTTTCCAGCCATTTCTTCTTCCTTTTTTTCTTTTATAATTTCTTTTGTTATTACATGATCTTTTTCTGGGTGATTTGCATATACATCCAATATTGAAACTGAAAAAATAAATAAATGATATGTAATTTACGATTAAAGCTACCTTACCATATATACAAACTGTGTGATATGAAATTGAAACTAATGTATCTATATGTATCAAAAGTTTTAATCCCAAGGAACTACCAAGCCGTAAAAGTCTATCTTAATAATCCTTGTTTGTCACATGGTTTCACTGTCACAGTAATTAGAAGACGGCCATGGTGACTGAGTAAATTAGGTGCTGGCACACTAGCATGGAGGCCACAGGTTATCTCTTGGGGTTGACCGAGAAAGCTCATCTTGATTTTGCAGAGTGGTTTCCCCTGAGATCCAATGTACACATTGGCGTACACATAACCAAAAAATCACAGTAAGATCAGATACTCTCTTTTCTCTAGCTTTCTTTTTCAGGTGCTGGATTCTTCCTTCAGAGAACCAACAATAAAAGGAATGAATAACATAAATAAAGATGTAAAAACGCTACCATACCGGACAACATACCCAAATGGAAGGAAGAATGGACCAGGACTCAAACTCACCAACAAAGCCCCAAGGTAGAGTTGCACCGCCCTGCCATTCTACCGGACAGAACGACCAGACCAACCCAATCGACCCAAAATATATATATATGTACATAATATGTCTATGTCTGTGAAAATGTCCGTCTTTGTCCATGTCTGTTCCGTCAAATCGCATGTTTGTAAATGTCTACTGGCACCTGTTTCGTCCTTTGCACATGTTATCCTACTGTTGTTTATTGTCCTATGTACATATATATGAAAACCTAACCATCCTAATATTTCTCACTAATCACATTGTAAATTAATGCACCTTGTACACATAACACGTCATTGTCTGCGATATCACCTCGGTGGAAGCGGACGTAAAATACAACTAACACTAACTAAATTTGAATTCGGTATGAGAGTAGGCCATAGTGTCGATGCCCAGACAAACATTTTCACTTAGCACAATGCATTAGACCAGTCGGAGCTGACCAGTAGGACGTTGTCTTTAAACCCCATTTCATTTCAGGTAATCTAGTATTTTTCTAGTAAGATTGAAGTCTCTCTACTTTCTTTATATGTAAATATCATATTTGAAATAAGTCATACTTTTATTCGATATGGGGTGGGACTGGGGGGAATGGTCTAGTAGGTAATGCATGCGCATGAAATCACAGGGTCTGTCATTGTGTTAAGTGGCATGGTTTCAATTTCAAGGAGTAGAGTCGCCTGTCCAATCTCTTGAGTTTTTTCGCTGGGTCATTCGGTTTCCTTCGTTTTCTAAATACAATTCAATATAAATCAAACACGAAAATACTTTAAAACAGTAATCATGATGCAATATTAGACTTTTTAACACTTTCATCGAAAACCACACAGTTTTTCTCTGTTAACGTAGTTTCAAGTGCCAAATTGTGGTCAAATCTAAAATGTTGAAACATGCAGTGCCTATCAATTTTAAAATATCTCCTATATAGCTGTATTTCCATAGGATAAGTAAGTTGAAATAATCTGATTATGTAACACTACAACAGCTTTTTCATCCCTATCCCCCAGTTTGGAATCTGATAATTTAAAAGCACATGAATTTTGAATTCCACAGAACATTTTTATTTTTGAACATAAATGCATTCTTCAAAAAGATGAGATGAATTCAATATAAATCAAACACGAAAATACTTTAAAACAGTAATCATGATGCAATATTAGACTTTTAACACTTTCATCGAAAACCACACAGTTTTTCTCTGTTAACATAGTTTCAAGTGCCAGATTGTGGTCAAATCTAAAATGTTGAAACATGCAGGGCCTATTAATTTAAAAATATCTCCCATATAGCTGTATTTCCACAGGATAAGTAAGTTGAAATAATCTGATTATGTAACACTACAACAGTTTTTTCATCCCCACCCCCCGGTATGGAATCTGATACATTGCTGACCAATCATAGGTCGCCCCGTTCACACGGGCCTGTCAAATGATTTACAATGGCGATGGTGCCTACAACTTTCCTGACCAAGAGATATGCACAACCGTCGATCAACACACAAGCCATTAATGTTATCTTCCAATATGAGAGGCCATGATAAAAACACAAGCGTCCTTTTCAAGCTCGGAAATTAAGTCATCACCAAAAAGCAAAGTTTACAGAGGTCCTCGGGCCTGGAACCCAAACTGATTACGATTTGCCCTCCTCTTCCACCACAGGTGTCATAGAGATCAGGGATGAAATTGATATGCATCATCGTTCTCCTAAAGCCAGTAGAGGAAGAGATCAGGTTTTGAGATGTAGACCTGAAATGTTAAATTTGGATGAGAATGAGAATTCTGGGGCGAATACTATCCAGGGAAATGGTCATTGACATCCAGAAAATGGTCAAAATGTGGAATTCTGTCATTCAGTTAAATGTCAAGGGGAGAAGACAGGCCTGTGCAGTACCAAATTTCCAGCCCATTACTATTAGTCAGCAGAAGTGGGGATGAGGTTGGATGTACTTCTTAAAGTGTATGAAATGCACATTTATCTCACCTGTTTTGCTTCTTTTTTTTTTAATACTTGTGTTGAGGTCAATCATTCCACTCTATAAAACATTGCCCTGGCACCTGAAATGATAGGAGGCTGGGGATAAATATGCAATAAAAAACAGTGAGAAAATAAGAAAAAAATATGGTTTCAACTGGAAATAGAAATAAACCTCTTTATTTCTCGCGAACAGCCCGTCACTGGTCCTCCAAAAAGAAACCAGTTAACAATCAGTAAAAAAGTAAACCTTGAGTGTCACATAAGTCTAAGCCAATCTCAAAGGTAGATGCCATGTTTTGAGGTTCGGTCTAAATATTAAGGCCAACTGCATGTTTGGTCAAAAGTCACATAGGTGTGAATTTTGGAGTGTACATGTTAACATTTCATTGTATGATGTCAAAAACATGTTAGGTCTAAATGTTAAGGCCAACTGCAGACTTGGTTCAAGGTCACAACATGTAAATAGGGTTAGGGCACATGATTTTTTGACACAATTGTGGGTTTGGGCTAGGGTCAGAACTAGGTCTTGGCTTAGGCCTAGGCTACATGCTTTTTGACAAGATTGTGGGTTAGGGTTAGGGTAAGGACTGGGTCTTGGGTTAGGGTCAGTCTTGTTTACATCTCGTGACTTTAGACCAAATCTGGAGTTGAGTTGGCCTTAATATTTAGACCTAACCATGTTTTGATATCATTGTGAACAAAATGTTACACATTTACAACCAACGGATACCCCCAATCATGGCTATTTTGATACCAAATAGTCAAAAAACTTACTGCTGGGCAATAAAAAGCAGTATTCTTACCATTTCTGACACTTTCCATTCAAAACTTCAGGAAATAAGCCGTTGAAAAAATATCAACACCCCGAGTCGGCCATGCTTCTTTATCATCAGGAGTCAGACTAGCAATTATTTGCCCATTGACTTCAATGTTAAATGACTGTAACATCACAGGCTGTAGCTTTTTGCTCAACATTCCGTTGGTTCCAATCTTTATAGGCACAATGGGGACAACATTTGGCAATCTCCTCATCATAATTTTGTAGGGGGTTGACCGTTTAGATTTTTTGCTACACGGATTTGAAGTTGACAGGGGTGAAAATCTCACTTCCGACACAATGATTGCTCTGCAGAAAGACACTTTACACCCCCTATCCCTCCGCTGTAATATCATCAGTATTACCCAAAACTGCTATGAAATTGCAAATTTGATCCCTTTTCTCCAATTCTAGACCAAAAAGTCAACCCAAAAATGCAGGAAGAGGGGAGAAAAAAATTAAGGGAAAAATTGTCTATTTATAACTCGCACTACATTCGACAATCATGAAATAAGGGGAAATAATTACTAGTCTTAGTCCTGACTCCTTTATTAGGGTTGTCTTTCTTGCTTTTATCTTCCATTTATTTACGTTTTTGTTGTCTCAGAGATGGACTATTATTTTAAAAAAAAGTTGAAAATCGTAAAGTTTAGGAAATGTTAATCACATAATGATGAAAAAAAAATAAGAGCATATGATAATAAAAATGTGTTTGAAATTGAAGGCTCTATAATTAGCCTATAATTAAGGTATCAGTATGGAACGGATCGTAATCGTACGGTATTCACTACGGTCAGACTGATATTTAGGAACGTAAAGTTATCAGTCTGGAACGGATCGTAATCGTGCGGTATTCACTAAGGTCATACTGATATTTAGGAACGTAAAGAAGACCATTTTACTAACCGTCTCCATTTTAAGAAAGAGCAGATATAAATATATGATTATATCGACAGAATCTCCATACGAATCTTTAATTTAGTAGAAGAAGAGCAAGTTGATCATTGTCGCCATATTTGACCTATTTCTCTATTGGTTGTATATGCATTAAGGCGTGGATCTAACCAACCCGAGTAGCTCATTATTGAGCCGAGAGATTTATGAAATGAAATTGGGGTTTAATGACCCGCATTCCTTCACTATTCAGGCTAATGAACACGAGGCGTTCAAGCCAGCTCTTTATTCACAGAGCCGCCTGGCTCCCCTGAGAGACTTTCACTTACAACTAGTCATTGTCGAGACTAATGATTTTTATCGCCGCTGTTGATCAATATATATATGAAATAATAGCCCGAATTTAAGTATACCAAAAGTTAAAGAAATATAACCAGTTTTTGAGCCATTCAGATATGACTGCCAAAATTGTAATCAGCGCGCATGTTTTTTTAGGCTAAAGTCTAACCATAAAACTTAGTGTCCATACATAATAAATATTTTATTCCATTAATCAATTCCATTCCGCCATTGGTTTGTCTTAAACTCGTCATTTGTGTTCATGGGGATCAGGGTCGAGATGGCAACGTTATATGTTTTATTCGTCTAATTTACTATAAAACATCATTCGGTTTGCCTCACGGGTTAACGGCATATTAATAGCTTTATTCACTGAGATGGTTCCTTTACTTATAGTTTATTTTTCGAATTGCTTTTTGTATTTATTTAAATGGAAATATTTAGCACCTTCTTGTTAAACCGTTGAAAGATTTAAAGTTTGGATTAATGTTAAGAGAGTGTGGGTCAAAGATGCCGCTGGCAGAGTGTGTATAGGGTGTTAATGTTTAAAAGTTATTCCCTACAAGGTGGTTCTACGGTTCTTACCATAGAATTCAGCTGTGAAATAACACAGTTTCTTTCATTATGTGTACAACAATAAAACTAGTTCAATTGCAAGTTGTCTAAACCACGGTGCTGTGATGTATGCATCTAAATGTTTCGACGACCCACCAATCAGTAGTTGCATGATGATTAAATTTATCGGACATGGAATGTGAAAATGCTTTGGAACTTTCAACTGTAACACGTTGCAATAATTACTCAATATAAGCCAAAAGGATCCGCCTTGTTCATTTATAGTCCGGCCCTGTCTTCAGTATTAAAATATAAAATTGAACACAAAGTATATTTAGTAATCCGTATTGTAGTAATGGCAATCACGGCTTGTGTTTTTTGTTTTGTTTTTTGTTGTTTGTTTTTTTTGCAAAATATAAAATAATTACGATGTCGTTTAACACTCACAATAACATATTTGGTTACCGGCCATTCAGCCATTCAGGTCGTACATGTGTCAAGTATACAGTCATATATACAAACGCCTAACTATAGAAGCCTACCATTCTTAATTTCTACTTTTCGCCCTCCAAAACACGAAAGTCGAAAAGTAGCAGTTACGACAAAATGTGAGGCGACAGCAACGCTATACAAGCCAAAATCGACTCGAAAATAGGAAATCAAGAAATAATACACTGCGATAATAGCGCCCCTCGTTTTTTTTCCTAATTTCTTATTTTCGACTTGCATTTTGGCTTGTATACCGTCTTGTTGACTTTCGACTTAGTCATATTTTTGTATTTATTGATGTCAGTAAGATGTTACTATGGAGAACGTAAATTTCAGATTATACATTCCAGACTTCGTAATTGTAAAAGTGCTCTAAACTTCCATAGATTTTTAATGCATATTTCACATAACCCGACATGCAGTTGTGGTCATACTCAAGAAGACAGCGACCATTATTTTCTGCACTGCCCAAATTATTCGTCTCAGCGTATCTCAACATTAAATACCCTCCCATTTAAATCCATAAATACAAAAGCGTTCCTATATGGCGATACCAACGAAAGTAACCCGTTCAACAAAGTGAGTTTTAGTAAAGTTCACAAGTATTTAAAACTAAACAAGCGCTTTGAATAGATAAGGTAATTGTCCGAGCTACCCCTATACCCCAAATTTCAGACTCGGAAATGACAACGTGAATGATGGATCAGTCGAACGACAGAGTGAATGACAGGAGTTTTCCAGTCGAATAATAAAGATAATGGCAACTCTGGTCATAGCATATCTGTTTATAATATATTTCATATAAATGTTTATACACGTATTTGAAAAATACATTTAGGTCTACGTGTAATGTTGAATGTATAAATTCGGAAATGTTTTGATCTCTTGAACTGTATTATTTAAAATACACGATTAACGTATTAAATTGTAAATAATGAATCAAGCCAAGACATGTATTGAATGTTTTATTGAATTGGAATAGAAACTGAAAACAGATTAACACCCTGTGTGAGATATTTCATTCAAATATTGTGAAAGGGTTGGTAATAAAATTAAAATTGTCATTGTGTCATTTTAATAACATTGAATCGTCCTATTCTGTTACGTAGTCGTCTCAACATATTGTTGTCATGGGTTACTTCTGCTAAACAACTCAATAGAAACGAGTAAAGTATTATAAACGAAATTATGTCTAAAGATTTCTTCATGACATGTATTGACTGTAAGACACAAAGCGTACAGGATCTAAGTGTGATGTTAAAGGTCAACACGCAAATATTGAAATTGGGTATGTTCGTGGATTGACTTATAGAATGTTGTTAATATTTCCATTTAAATAAATACAAAAAGCAATTCGAAAAATAAACTATAAGTAAAGGAACCATCTCAGTGAATAAAGCTATTAATATGCCGTTAACCCGTGAGGCAAACCGAATGATGTTTTATAGTAAATTAGACGAATAAAACATATAACGTTGCCATCTCGACCCTGATGCCCATGAACACAAATGACGAGTTTAAGACAAACCAATTGCGGAATGGAATTGATTAATGCAATATATATTTTATTATGTATTGACAATACTTTTCTGGTTAGATTTTAGCCTAAACACGACATGTGTGTTGGTGACAATTTTGGCAGTCATATCTGAATGACTCAAAAACTGTTTATATTTCTTTAACTTTTGGTATACCTAAATTCGGGCTATTATTTATGGTAGAAAGATATAATAAAATGACCTAAAGCTTTAAAACATATTGTTAAATATGTTGAGGCACCCTAAATTGAATTTGAAGCACCAGGGATAAATAAATAAAAATAGCTATAATGCATGATTTTATTGTAACTAGTGAACTGATAAATATTGTACAATTTATCTAAAGAGTACATTTATGAAAACGTGGTACTTTTCTGATATCTAGTTAAATTAACACTTACCCAGATCTTGGCATAAGCATGACTTAAAATGATCACGGCTAAAACACTTCCGTGCGAATCAAGAATTCTTTATGTAAGAATAGAGCTTTATAAGACCGTAAATGCACCACACATTATGTCCCCATAAGATGGTAGCTATAATCTTTCAATCCAATCCCCTAATTAAGTATACCCCCACCCAATCATAAAACAATAATAACATAGCAAAACGGTGTTTAATTCTGATCATCTAAATTATCAAACGATATTCGCCGAAGTAGTAACTGAGAAGGGAGTGTTTTAAGATATACATAATGTATCTTACTATTTTTCGCTTATATAATTTGATTTTCAAATACAAACCATTAATACTTATCTTAGCATTAAAACAATCAACCATTTGTGGTTATATTGAAATCTGTAAAAGACGCATTCTTTTTGAATATATTTTTAAAAAATAATAAATGGAAAAAAACATATTATTAACGCTTTTTCAACAAGCAATTGTTATACTCTTAGTGATTTGTAGAGCGTCAAATCACAATGTTATTGTACTGTTTTAAATTGTAGATTTTGTTCATTCATGTAAAACATTTATTACAATTTTATAATAAAATGTATAAAACACTGAGTTCGAGATTCAAATCACAAATCCATCCAAGCTAGGATACTGCAAATCCGAATATTTTTGTTTATAAAATATTTACTTTCCATTCAATAAATATTCCAGTCATCTAGTTTTGGATTTGGGGAAATTCATTCTCCTTTTCCCATATATACAGATTGCCGTATTATTTAATAATCAAACCAAACAGCATGTAATCAAAGAACGCTTGTATCCGCCATATGTAATATTGTCACGTGACATTGTTATGTTTTGTTTCGCTCGGGAAGCGTTTATTATACATAATAGAACTCCAGTGTAGTAAGCCATAACTATGAACAATATCATGTCCCAAATAAATAATCTAATTTGTAGATCTGCAATTGGTCACATGATGGTCCGAACATTATTTGTATGGCTCTATTTGTCGACAGCAAATACCGCTAATAATTATCTTGGATAAAATACCTCGTTTAGTAAACGAGGCCATTTTACCCAGCCTCGTTCTGAACAAAATACCTCGTTCCAAAAACAGGGCAATTTAAAAAAAAACACGTTTTGGAACTCCAGAGAAACGAGGTATTTTTTTTACCTCGTTACAACGAGGCAAAATCGGGGCAAAAATTTTGACACGTTTTTGCCTCGTTTGGACAGAAATGCCGAACGAGGCATTCTGAGGTTTATAGTGATACACCACTACGGGTTCTTCGTCGCAGAAGACACTAACGTCGGCATCGTCTGAGATGGAGGACTCCATAACCGGAACTGGCACATCGTATCGGGTTTCGGCTGTAAACGATTCTTCTACTTCCATAAGTTCAGTTGTTGGGACCTCCATAACTTGTTCTTGTTGTTCGTCCATATCTTCCGTCTGCTTATTAGATTTAAGGTTGTTTTTTTAAACATAAATTAGATTACAATTCAACTAACACAAAAGTGTAAAAAGATTTTTTTCTAGTCTGTGCCCGCGTTTATGTCTACTCTTGGCAAAATCGTTATAATATAAAAAAAATCATGAAACAAGAATCAAAATGGCCGCCAATCGGGTCTCCAACGCCAATCCAACCTCCCAAGATATAATTTCAAAACAGATTCTTACCTGCTGGTTCAAGTCGAACCGTTTCTGCTTTAATCATAATGTGATTCTGTAATGTAAGTATTTGAACAACATCGTAGCGCCGAACAACTAATGTTAATTAAGCATGATTTCAGAAAAATTGAACAGATTTGATAATAACATGCCGAAATTTTTTTCCTGACCGCGCCATATAATAAACATGAACTTCCGGTTTAAATTGTTGGAGTTTTTTTTAAGGAAACGAAATACTAATATTATACAGAGAAACAATATCGATGCTAAATTACATACATGGTATTATTTTTTTTATATAAATATTCACAAACCTGCGGTCTTGTATTCTATGTGACCATTAGCTTACATTTGTCAAACATATCACTGCTCCAAAATCATTTCAGCACGTTGTTAAATGTTAAATTAATTGTGTGAAATCACTTCATTTAATGTCCGCTTCCACCGAGATGATATCGCAGACAAAATGTAGCCTATAGTACGTTGATTTTATCAACCAATCACATTCAATAACAGTTTTACTTATTTTCTTGTCAACGCATTTGGAGTCAATTGTTAAAATCACACCGGGCATGAGCGCTCAACAGGCCTTTGATCTACCAGTTTATTGGGCCCAACTTTATTTTAACTACAGACATCTTAACACCAATTAGCATTCAAGTCTGTCTGGCTATATTGTCTGAGTAAAAAATACCTTTCTCTTACTTGTGGACCCCCGGATTAAGACTTTGTATGGAGTTCAAATTTAAAAAAAAAAATATTTGTTGACGGTACACATTACTTGTGTTAATTATATGGAAAAAACACAAGATTTGTGTTAATGCATTAAAAAGAACACAAGTTTGTGTTAATGCAATGCAAAACAACACATAACTTGTGTAGAATAATTTTCACACAAGTACTTGTGTTGAGATCCAACACAAGTTTTTTTTCAGTGTAACAATCACACTCCAGACACACACATTTAAAATATATAAAAAGTATATAGTACCATTAACAACATAAAGATATTTACAATATAAGCACAGTGGGCTTCATTTATCTATAGCTTTCAATCTCGTAACTTGGCGAAAGTGCGAAACCATTTCGAGTTTAAAAGTTAGTTTCAATATTTAAAATAATAATTATATATCGATACATATAGATCCATTACTTTCATAAAAAAAAAATAATGACGGCGAAATAAACTTTTTAATAAAATTAATATTATTTTTCTTACAGTACTCTCTTACATTATTAAAGGAGCTCTTTAATACATTTTTTAAAAAAAATTACAACATCAATTTCTATAGTAGTAGTATTGTCAAGGGATTTCATTCTCCGTTTATTCACAGAAATTCGGGCACAGCTTAGTATTAAATTGACTAATTCGTAGGGCTGAGAGTTGTTTTTGGATTGTAACCCAATTAAGAAATATGTTTTGAGATCTTCCTCAGTGACATTGGTAGATAATAAATCATTTAACATTTCTTTAATAATCATTCTTAGGTATAGTAAATCTAGACAATTAAAAAACATATGTATTATATCTTCAGTTTCTTCTTTACACACTGGACAAATGTCATCTAATGTTTTATTTATCTTGAATAATTTTAATTTTGTCCAAATAATATTGTGTACAACTTTATACTCTAATGTTATCATTTGCGGGTCTTTAAAACTTAAAAATACATTTTTCCATACAATATTCCAATTTATATTCATCACTATTTTCTCCCAAAATACAATACATTTTGATTCTACGAACAATTTCTTAATAAGACTGTTATAACAGAACTTAGTTGTTAATTGCTTTGGTTCAATTTTTTCGTTATCAATTGTAAAAATACATTCTTTTCTTTTTTAAAGAAAGGTAGTATGGTTGTTAATAATAGTACACCAAGTATCAGGAATATAAGACTTTATAATATTATATTGTTTTAATATTTTTTCGCTACAATACTCAGGGAAATCTGTATGAATGATATCCAATATAGTATGAGGTGGTAAGAAGTCAGGTTTTACATAATATATAATATCATATACCTTTACAATATTACACTGTTTAAATATATCAGATTTCGGGGATAGTAACGTTTGATTATCCTTTGATATGAAAGGATTATTAAACAAGGATTGACAAGAAATATCATAGATATCTATAGGACAACTTCTACAGTTATTATTTAGTCTATTCCAAGCACAAAGTAATCTTTGATAAAATACAGGTAAGGTCTTCATTAAACTAGTTTTATAATGTATATTAAAAATATCATGGCTTAAATCGAGATCAGAGTATTTCCGTAGAAAATACGTCATTGTCTCTTTCCATACGGCGTTATGTGTATCATCAAAATATTTAATTAACCATTTGATGCACAGTGCATCTGATTTCAAACCTATATGAGGAAGTGCCAAACCACCTATTGACTTATTTCCAATAATAGTTTTATACTGTATTTGTGGAGGCTTTTTGTTCCAAATATAGCTTTGCACGTGCTTTACAATGTCACTTTCAACGGTAGGCGGTATCGGTATAACGCTCGTTGTGTACCATAATTTAGATAACAGTAAACTGTTTGTGACAAGGATCTTGCCTTGTAAACTGATATTACGTTTAAACCACATATTTAAAATACACTTAATTTTATTAACTTTATCGTCCCAGTTAAGTTTTTCACACATTAACTTGTTCCGACCTAAATAAACCCCAAGAATATTAATACAGTCTTCTTTAACAATAATAGGATTATTGAATTCGTACTTTTTGTTGACGGATTTTCCAATAGGTAATAACTCTGTTTTATGTACGTTAATCTTAGCACCAGACGCGTTACAGTAAGTGTCTAAAACTTCGAAAGCTTTGTCTACCGAATCTTGATCTCCAAGTGTTAAATTTGTATCGTCGGCATGTTGATAAATCAAGGAAGTTAAACTGCTATACTCAATAGAAATTCCTTTAATAGGTGACTGTTTTATTAATAAATTTAGAGGCCCTGAGCATAAAACATACAAAATGGCAGACATGGGACATCCCTGTCATACTGAACGTTCAATTTTAAAATAAGGGGATAAGTGGCCATTACATTTTACAGCACTATTATATATCTGTATACATGATTCTTACATAATTAATGAAGTTTTCTCCAAAATCAAAATATTTCAAAACATGCATCAAGTATGTGTGAGAGACTCTATCGAAGGCCTTTTCGGCATCAATTTTTAAGATAAAACCACGAGGTTGGATAGGCGACCCTACTCCGTGTCACGTACAACCGGGGATTCGAAACCACGCCAGTCGACTCAGTGACAGACTTTATGATACAGCGCGCACGTGCTAACCATTCAGCCATCCAACTCCCCTACCTTATTGTATAATGGTAAATAGCATAAAATAAGTATGTTATAATATTATTTATAAACGAGAGCATCGCTAATGCTGCAATATACGTCCACATTACAGCACTGATTGATTGATATGGTACTTTTTAAAATGAAGAGAATGAAATATGAAATGGCTGTAATATTATACGAGGCAAAGGAGGCTAGGCGTTGGATTTGTTTTGCCAAATTTACAGACAAAATGCTAACAAAAAAGTGGGTGTGACCCAGGAGGTCGGGGCAAGCACCAAAATAAATAGTTGCTGTCTTTACGGTATAAGGAATAAATATGCAAAGTTCCAAGATGATCCATTCAGAATTGGAGTCTGTAGACGATAAATACAAAAAATGGGCGTGGCTCTGGCCCTGGGGGCTGGATATGGAACAATATAAATAGGTACCAATCTGTTATTGAAATGACAACATCAATAGTTGCCGTCCTTAGGGTATAAGAAAAAAAAGTATTCCAAGTTCCAAGATAATCCATTCAGAATTGTGGCCTTCGGGCGCTAAAGGCAAAAATTGGGCGTGGCTCTGCCCCTGGGAGTCGCGACATGCAGTTGTCGTCTTTAGGCTATAAGGAATACATATCCCAAGTTCAAAGACAATCCATTAGGAATCGTGGCCTGTAGGCAACTCACAGAGACACAAAGAACAAATGGGCGTGGCTCTGCCCCTGGGGGTTGGGCAATCACCAATAGGTGGCATCCTTAGGGTATAAGGAATAGGTATGCAAAGTTTCAAAATGATCCGTCAAGAATTGCGGCCTGTAGATGACAAATAAATACAAGAAATGGGCGTGGTTGTCCCAGGGGGTCAGGCATGCACCAAAAACAATAGGGATCATCCTTAGGGTATAAGGAATTCATACGAAATTTTTTCAAGACGATCAATTAAGAATTGTGGCCTGTAGGCGACACACAGACACACAAAAAGAAAATGGGCGTGGCTCTGCCTCTGGGGGTTGGGCATGCACCCCAAACGATAGGGATGTTCCTTAGGGTACAAAGAATAAGTATGATACTTTAAGAAATGCGGCCTGTAGACGACAAACAAATACAAGCAATGGGCGTGGCTCTGAACCCTGGGGGTCGGGCATGCACCAAAAACAATAGGGGTCATCCTTAGGGTGTAGGGAATAAGTATGTAAAGTGTCAATATGATCACTTAAGAATTGTGGCCTGTAGGCGACACACAGACACACACCCACCCACACACACATACATACATACATACATAGGGTGCCCCGAGCTAAAAAAAAATCTCGAAAACTATTTACAGTTATGACACTATATCTATATAAACAACAATCCTAGATGACCCTTTATTATAAACTGTCAAGAAACTATACCTGTGTGCTATATTTCACAAGATATACCCATTCAACTGTACGTTAAAATACACTGCTATTGTGAACCAGCGGCAGATATATCCATTTGGCCACAGATCACTAAAGATTTCCCATTGACTACAATGTTAATTCTCGTATATTAGACCGGCTCTAAATTTTTCCCAAATTTTCGTTGGGTAGAACGCTTTCTACCACAGATGGAGCAACATGTGGCAACCACTTGCCCAAAAGCACGTATGAGGTTCTTCATGAAAAACTTGAGATACACAAGCTGGAAGTAGAGATAAGTAAACATGCAATTTCAGGCCCTGCATTTCATCCTAACCGACCTCTCAACTCTTGTATCCTTCCGCATCACAATTATGAATATTCACCAAAACCTGGCAGAAAATGTATTTTCAAACCCTTTTTCTTCGATTCTACACCAAAAAGTCAACAAAAATCGCCATGCAAAA